CTGTGTCTCAGACGGAATCCAGGATTGTCCACATCTATCAACAGCACACTGGACAATGTCCAGAAACACCCCCTTGTCTTTCAAGGGGCCATTGTCCACTTCCATGATAAATGGAGGGATGGTAAATCCACTAAAATGCTGTTCTTTGATGTTTTTTTGCTTCGATACAGCTCATTCGGTCGGCCAAAAGGGTCCCCTTCTCCCAGCCCTGCGCTCTTCCCGACCGCTCTGGGCGTCCCGACCGCCGTGGCGTGCCGGGATCCCTGGCACCATGAGTCGCGCCCCCCCCCCACTTGTTCGGTTCTGGTGCAGTATGGTGTCCAGGTTGACTAAAGCCCCCTGAAACAAACTGAGTCATCTTCTAGGACCTTCTTGGCTGGGAAATTCCCTCCAGTCAACAGATCAACTTCCTCCTCCAGGACTTCTCAGCTTTTGTCTTTTACTGTCCTACGGATCATGACACTCCTCGGAACGCCCAGGAAAGACGACAAACCAACACCACCCACTTTACTCATTGGTAGGCAAACCAAACTGGCTTTTCGACTCAACTGCCGAAACATCCTCAGCTCATCTGGTGGCCCAAAAGTCCAGCACATGCTCACTCAATTGAAAACATCCCAGGAACCAAAACCACCAATGTTGTACATAAGACTCTTGGGGTGCCTGGGGTGTGACAAATCGAAACACTCTTCTCGGATGCTTCGCCTCAGTATGGGCTCCGGGAGAACCTCCGTCTCAAGTGACAGACCTCCACGTGAGATGACCGGCGCTTGGAACGACTGGCCGGCTGTGGGATAAGCGAAAAGTCGGAAGTCTTGTCATGATCAAAGTATAACAAAACTGTAAGATGCCCTGGCTCAAGACAGCTTAGGACGTAAATAGCTTCTCCTTGGTCGCGTGCGGGAGGTGTTTGCAACATGTTGCGAGCCCATGCGAGCCCTGCAGCACCTGCACATCGAAGACCACTGAAGACTACCCAACCACAGATCTGTTTCGTTCAAAAGTTAGCAAAGAGTCAAAACTTCAGATACAGGATGGTTGCACTCTTCCCAAGATAGAGAAGAAGTCCATGGTCCCAGAGATGGACTTCTTCGACTCCGGCCAAGGCAGGCTTGGCATCGGTGAGTGCTACAAGAAGGTCACCCCAAAATACAGAGAAGACTAAGACAAAAAGAAACTCTTCCCAAGAAGGTTGAGGTGATCGGATTGCTCCAATTGACATTCCACAGTTGCTCACAGGAGACAACCCATGTCACAAGGAAGCTGGCTGGAGAATACAGGAGGACACCCCATGCATGTGAGGAGTCCTTCATACGCACCCTACTCTACCAACAAGCTCAACACAAGTACATTTGCCTTGGGATGTGAACTACGTATGAATCACCCGATCAAACAGCCAATCACCGCGACTGCGACTGACCCGAACACGCTTCTTCGGTGCCTTCTCTCAGCGCTTTCTTGGAGAAAATCGCTTGGACGTCATTCATCTGGTCAATGGCATCCTGATACCATCGCAAGCCCAACAAGTGGAACTCCGACAAGTGGAGTTCACATGTTCTGCAAATGTTGCGGCCTGATAACGAGCACATGGATGTAGAGAAATTGTCCACTCTCATGGTGGAACAAATTTGAACAACCATTTTACAGTATGTGACAGTATGTGTTCTTTTTTCCGCCAATAAGGGCCAACGGGCCGACGGCATGTGAACGAGGACTTCCATGCAGCCAAAGAATCCTTGAAAGTCTTCTGAATATCTTTGGAGATCCTCAGCTGCGCAATCGCGTGCAGCTGAAGCGGCGATCTGCATCCCACTGCAGGTGCGAACAGGTGGCCATCACTACAGACCCTGCAAGGGGGAGCCCAGAACAGGTTCTTCCAGTGACTTCTACATGCCCACCGGGTCCATACTATGTCTAACAGAATCTAAAGAGGTTACTTGACAAAGCTTCAGTTCCGTATCCTCCCACGTCTTCTTCTGAGTGCAGTGCTTGTTTTAAAAAAGAAGAAGACCACCTCATGCGCCCATCACACCTGCCGGAGGGCTCATCCATTTGGCTTTCCAAGAGCTCGTCGGCGTAGAGCTCCCCTAGCATGTTGGCGCCAGCAGCTAAGCGGCCGCCTGGCCAGGTCACTTCAGACCAAGAGCTGTTCTTTGGGATCGAAGAATGGACTACTGTTGTGGAACTGATGTTCTCAACCCAACGCTGTCTGGAACAGACGCAAGAAATACCTCACGAAGCTGTTGTTGGACTAGACTTGTCTTTTTCAAGAAGGAGATAAACATGTTCGCATTATTCTTCATAACAGCTAATTGTGACGGTGAGTATATAAGCACAACTTACATAAGCATGTACCACGAAACAATGCCTCCATGTAGCAAGGTTCCCGAGCAGGAATCGCTGTTGGTCGTAGCTTTGTCAGGTCTAAACCCCTGACAATACCACAGTTTCAAGATGAGTGAATCATTAAAAACGTCGACTTCGAACCGTTTTCGGAGGTGGCTTTCCGTCGACGATGTTTCACCGACCCACACCGCGCGCGCGTTGGCGGGGCGCCGGTGCACCTGCCATCTTCTTGTAGCGATCGAGCTCAGCCTTCATCGTGACCATCTGTTGCTTCAGCTCTGCAATCCTCGGACTTTTACTGGGGCCCTATGAAAATTGCACCATGCACGATGCACCATGACACCGATTCCGAATCCCACATAAGTATCTCACCTTCTAAGGATGGAGATCCGACATAGCCCAAGTTGCCCGCCACACCCAGAAAGAAAGTTCCAATGTGTTCTTCAATTTCCCTCGTGCATATTAATGAACTCAATTCCTATCCAAGCCAAGCAGCAACAGCCATGAATGAAAAGTGGATAGAACAATTTGTTCAAAAAAAGTGGATTGTCCCACGATATGAGCTCTTCTGAAAACTTCAATAGATTCAAGCTAATCGAAGGGAGGTGTTGGTTTCTGACGTCCCTGGGTTTTGAGATCAAACGGCCGGCAGAAGATCTCCAATCCTTGGGATTTGGGGCCATCCACTCAGACCGCACGGCTTCCCCCCGGTCGTGTGGGATCCGCTCGTTCTTTCGCCCTCACGGCCACCTGAGGGGATCCTCCACGGAATCCGTGACGCGTGATCTGCACATGGTCCACATCAACCTGTCCGTTCTCATCGCTTCTCTGGAATGTGCCATGAGGAATTGTGCCATGTTGCACCATCCTGGTCTTTGCGTGTGTCCGAGACCGAGGATTGCTCCACCCAACGGCCATCACCGAGTGGCTCCGCTTTTTGTGATTCGATGATCTCGTCCTGGGGCCGTTCGGAGGTGGAAGGTTCAGAAGGTTCAGGGTCTGAAGGTCCTTTCACCTGGAGGTCCAACTGAAAGGTTCCTCTTTTATACTACACAAATCGAAAACTAACTCAAATAGATCTTAAAAACAACAAAGAACGTGGCCCCCGGGTGCATGATCGATCCTTTTTCTTGGTTTTGAACGGGAGAAGGGTGGGCAAATCCAGTTGAAGTGGAGAATCAACGGAATAAACTCAAGGACCTCCAACAAAAGAAGAACACACAAGAACTCAAAGAGAAGCTTCCCAGAGAGCGGAAGAGCGGAAGGATGCTTCTTTTCCTGAGACCTCTTGGTGCCGGGACCAGATGCGAGGTGATCAGCTCATCCCCTCGAAAAAAATGCATTGCATCCGTCCTTCTCCGCCAATTCCATGACGTGGGACACGCCCAAGACTCCGCCACGAGTCGCTGGTGAGGGCGGAGGGCGGAGGTCGATGGGTCAGGTGGGTGAGGTGAGAGGTGAGAGGGGTGTGTGTGTGTGTGACCCATGGATGAACGGAGGCTGAGGTTGGACCTTTAGTTTGTACATGTGCATATTTATATCTATCTATATATATATATAGATAGATATATGATTATATGTGTGTATACATATTTGGAAACAAGGCGAAGTCTTGTTTTATATGATATGTACGATACATATATATATATATTAATATATAATCATTCATAATTGGAAACTAGGTGAAGTCAAGTAGGCGCTACCTCTGAAGTTACCTCTACTCTTCACTCTTTACAGGTTGTATATATATATATACACAGTATACTATATATCCGCCGACCCCGGCCGACGCAAGGGGGAGCGCGCCAGGGAATAATGATAGATCCGCCAGAACTCAATCGTTTGGAGCAGAACTCAATGGGTTAAAGCCGTGGCGAAGGGGTGGTTTCAGATGCTTTTGGGAGGCTGGAAAGCTTTTGGCAGGCTGTTGGTGGAAGCTTTTTGGGAGGCTGGTTAGTGGTGGAAAATGCTAGCAAATTGTTTTTTTTCTAGGGATCCAGGGCGTCCGTTTGACACCGAACGTCCGAGGAATTGGAGCTCGTTTGGAGCAGAACTCAATGGGTTAAAGCCGTGGCGAAGGGGTGGTTTCAGATGCTTTTTGGGAGGCTGGTTAGTGGTGGAAAATGCTAGGAA